TTGGTTTCTCCCACCCACCGATTGCTTTTATCCTTCCCCACAGTCCCAACCACACTTCCTAAATTTGATTCGTTTCATTTACAATGAAAAATGTTGTCCAAATCTTAATGTATCCCCTAGTTTGCATTAGCCCTTGCGTCATCCTGATTACTTGTAACTAGTTGCGACTCACAAGGGCTAAATTAAATTATTATTTGAATGGCCAAGATGAGAACTGAGGAATATTTATATTTTTGGAATAAGATTTAGACTTTATTAGAATATGTGATTATACTTGAAACCTTGGATTTGTATAACTCATTTTAAACTTTAGAACATTTTAATGTGAAACTTAGTTTTAAAAAAATGAGCCAGGTCTGCCTATTTCTTAGCTAACAATTATCTAAATGGATATCTGCAACTTATTTTTTAAAATTTTTTTTGGGACCCAACTGTTATTAAACCGTTGTTTTGAACGTCCCAGTAATTTCTTCTGTCATTTTAATCCAAGAAAAAATTGCAATTACGTCCCATCCAAGAGAATTAAATACAAAAAGATCTCTTAAAATCATAAAATTATTCCCAAGTCCCATGGGCCTTATTGCAATAAAATTTATTTATTTAATTATCAAATTACCTTTTTTTTTTATAAGTTTGTATTGACAACTAAAATAGCAGTAGTTAACAACTTAAGTTGTAAGGATTGACAACTATCGTGGCAAGTATTAACAACTCATGCATTACTTTTGTGATGTGCTAAGAAAGTGTGTTGTTAATACTTATCGTAATAGTTGTCAATCATTACACTTTAAGTTGTTAACAACTGTATTTTCGGTTGTTAATACAAATATTAAAAAAAAGACAATTTGGTAATTAAACAAATAAAATTTATAACAAAAAATCTTTCGGGACTTCAGAAAAATTTTATAATTGTAAAAGATTTTTTTGTATTTAATTTCTTTGGGTGAGACCTAATTATAATTTTTCTTTAATCCAATCATACTATCGTACAAATTATTGCTGTGTGTGTGTGTTTGTGTGTGTGTTAAAAAGCAAAAATCTCAATTGACTTGGGCGTGCCTTATCTTCAACATGGGCCCCACATGCCCTTATTGCTTTCTGTCCTTTTGAACAGTTACATCTAGCATTCCTGAATTTAATTCTTTTCATTTACAATCAAATATTGGCCAAGTCGTGGGAGCCTTTTCATTTACCAGCATCTCTCTTAAACCTTTCTAATAAGTTTAATTTGTGTTGTAAATTGTTTTATTTAAATCGTTCATTCAATAATTGATATTTAATTTTCAAATCTCAAATAAAATTGTGAATTCTCATATAACTCTTATAAATTGCATAATTTGTATTATAAATTTTCTTATTTCACTCGTTTATGCAACTCTTAACAATTAATTTTTCTCCAACAGAACCTCAAATAGAATCATGAATTGCCATATACCTTTTGCTACAAAACCTCAAATGGAGTTGTGAATTCTTATATATATTTTGTAAATTACCTAATTTGTGTTGTAAGTTATCTTATTTTAATAGGACACTTGAATTTATTATGTTATATATATATTTCTTTTGCATTACATGATTAAATGATTGAATAGTTTGGTTGTTATAATTTTTTAGCTTGTTAAAGAGTCATGAGTTCAAATCTCTTAACCACCTTATTTGAAATTCTCCAGTTATCAAAGCTCTAGTGATTGGCTTAGCTACTAAAGGTCAAAGCTCCAGCCGGCCGGCCACCAGAACTTTGTTGGTGATTGATTTTCTTTCAAAATAATACAAGAACATAATTGTCTTTTCATTCATAATATTTAATTTTATTTTAGTCAAAAGGAGTGAAATGAAGTTTCAGAATGCTACGGAGATTGTTGGAAAATAAATTTATTTAGAAGGTCCTGACTGAAAATTTCGCCTTTTTAAATTGATCAACCTATCGGTCATTTATTGGCTTAGCTTCGGCTTATATAGAGATTAAACTGATTATTAATATACATACATATATATATATATATATAAAGTATAGACACAATTTTACTTAATAAAAATTTCATTATCCCTTAATTCCATTATACTTGTTATTATATTATATATTATTGATGAGAGCCTTTGTCGTTCGTCTTAAGGTTCCCAATAAAAAATAAATCCAAACAATATAATATAGTGCAAAACTCGGGTCGTTTCACTTTGAGGAGCCTTTATTTGAAATCCTAAGCAAACTAACTATCAAAAATAAAGAATTGACTTAGAAAGGGATTGATTTTCTTTTTAACTAACTAATTGGCAAAATTTAAAAGGATGCAAAATGAGTAAATAATTTTTGGATTTTTAGTTTATAAAATGGATATGAATGAAATAAACAAAGAGAATTAGTAAGTGACAGGAAATGAAAAAGCAATCATCTAGCACAATGATTAAGGTTATCATTACTTCAATTAATTTGGGAGTTAACTAAATTTAAAACACTCTAAAGGCCACTCTTTAGACTTGGTTTAATTAGAATAATCAACACCAAGCCACCTTGCATATTAATTACTCACAATTAAACTGTTTCAGCACAATTAGCCAAAGAGAATCAAAGAAAAGCAATTAAGAAAGAAATTCCGACTTCTTTGTGTGGATATTATGCAGGTAAATTTCTTTACACTCAACATTTTAATTTGTGATAAAATTATTAACTGAAAGTTATATATAAAATACACTCCCTATGTTCCTTGTGTTATAAGCAACAATTTCTTTTACGATGATATTTTTAGGTATAAAATACATTTTTTATCTGAAATTTTAAATTATTTTTTTTTCATTTTCACTCCCTTTAAAAATAGATGCTACTTATCATTTATCTGTGATAAATTTTCACTCATTATTGTCATGTACCTCCTTTAAAAGAAAGGGCATAATTAGAATATATATATATATATATATATGTTACATATATATATTATTTTTAACTAAATTTAACTAATATCTTGAATTGTTTGATTTTGTTAGTTATTTCTTATAAAAATAAATGGTAGAAGTAATTTAATTATTTTCTTCTTGTCCCTCCCTTTTTCATTGACATTGTCTATATATTTAATAAATTTTCAACTTTACATCTATTAAGTATACATACTTTAAAAGTTAAATAGCATACACAAACGTTTAATATTAAGGGATAACAAGGGAAACTAATGTCAAAAATGTAATGACATGCTAGGGTCAAAATTTTCTCTCTCTCTACCTTATAAATAATACTAAAGTGGTTTGATGAGCTTAATAAATATTTACGACCTCATGTCCTTATTATAAATAACTAATTTATAAATATTAAAAAAATCAGTTAAGTTAGTTATTTGTAAGAAATATGCATTAATTTTTTTCTAAAATATTTTATTTAATCATATGCATTAGAAAAACCCCTTAATAGAAACCCCCTTAGTCCTTTCCAATATGTACAATATTTTAGCCAAAAATAATAATAATTTTGAGAGATAAATTGAATTGAAATCTTATTTAGGATCAAACTAAATCTTTAATCCATCTCTGATAGAGAAACCAAGAGAGTAAATATGTAAACCAAATGTACATAAAATGAAAGAAAATTTTTGATACAAATCATTCTATGGATACGCTTCGTTCGATATGCATGGATTGCATTGTAAGATAGTGTCTATTTTCGCATTTACTCGGCTATTGACTTATCCAATTCCCTGCATTGTTGTTTCCGTCTTCCTTATCCACAAGGGCGACGAGTCTCAGTCATCGTTCCTTTCTCTTAAATGACCAATAAAAGGGTTTGAAAAAATATCACAAAAAATAAAATAAAACAAGATTAAAAAAATGGAAAATAAAAAAGATCCAGAATAGTATACAGTGGATTTTAACGGCGCGCAAGAATGCCAATAACTCTGCCTTGCTGTGACGCGCGCGCTTGCGTGTGTGTATTTTCTCTTCCATTATAGGTAAGCCATTTTTAAATAAATTATTAAGAATAAAAAAGATGATTCATGGTATCAATAAAAAGGGATGATTCAATTTAGTTAATGCTTTTAAAATTATCCCATTTTTAATATTTTGCTTAATTAATTAATCATAATAAATACTAACCCAATCTTTTTTTTTTCTTTTGCCAACAAATACTAACCCAATCCGACTCATATATTTTAGGAAGAATTATGAGTTCCCATACAAGGAAAAAAAATTACAAAACAAGTTCCAGAGGTTGTTATTCTCTATTTTAAAACTTATCATTACAAGCTGCTCAAGTTGTTATTAGACGTTTTAGTAGTTATTTCTCTTGTTTGGGACTTGATTGTAATTCTCTTTATATTTTAATCCCTCTGTCTACCATAAATATACTGATTGATATAAGGACATTATGGGGAAAAAAAAAAAAGGTAGCTGCTGCGTAGATTTTGTGTAGTGGCTTATCAATAAAACCGTGAAAGATTTCTAAAAGTCGACTTATAAATAAAGACCAAATTATATTGGCAAAGGATAAGACAAAAATATAAGTATATTTTTAAGAAATTGCCAATATAAATATACATAGTGTGTACATAAATATTCCCAAAACGATGCTAACCAATGCTCCTTTATTAGGTCTTTTGTTATTTTAGTCTTATTAAATATTTTATATATTTTAATAAAAATTAAACATTTTAAAATAATACAAGAAGTTATTCTAATGGAGAAAGATATATTTTGAAGTGATCTTATGTGACTCAGCACAGTTAACTTGACTTTAGACAAGAGAAAACAAAATATAATAAAATCCATCTGTCCCACATACCCCTTTAAAGAAAAGAACATGAATTATCAAAGTATGAAGCAAAAATATGTCCACAAATTCCATTATCAACTATTCAATCCTTTGCCCTTGTCTTCTTCCTCACCCTTAGCCTCTTTCACAGAAAAAGAAGATTCAGAAATATCCCGCCAGGCCCTATTACTCTTCAGTTACCCGGCGGACCCCCCCCACCACTTTCATCGTCTTTCCCAGAACAAAAGAAAAATTACCCGCAGAGAAGTAACTGTATTGATTAATTAATAAATTAATTAATAAAGAAGCTAGGAGGCCTCTTCTTTATTTCAAGTACAACACCAGCACATAAACTTAAGAATTATATATGTCTCACGTACACTCAAAATTATATGAAATTCATGAGCAATCTTTACCTCGACTTCCCATGAAATCAAGGTAGTAAGACATTATTCTTCATAACAGAAACGATCATTAAAAGCTGCAAACACAAATGTATGACTTATTTAGGCAGTTATAGAAGGTACTGCCTCCAATTTTTAATATAAAACCCAGTTGACTAATTTGAGGAGATTAAAAAAGTTACAAAATTACTTAATTATAGCATATATTGTATGATCTTTCTAACATATTTCTGTATATTATTAGATTATATATCAATTTATGAGTGAGAAGAATTAGTTAGAAAAAAAACTATAAATATAAATACTTCAAAAAATCTAGTAATTTTTTTAATCTCTTTCAATTAGTCAACTGGGTCATATGATGGGATAATATCAGAAACAAGACAGCAACTTATTTGAAAAAAGACCGGAATTTAGACCACATGGAGCTTTTGGAATGGGGTTTGATGCTGGAACGGCAATGAGTAGTATGACGAGAACCAGGAGGACATTTTATTCCCGGCTTATCCATATCCATCATCGGCGAGTCTTCCCATAAACATTGATCTGCATCGTCATCATCATATAATATTGACATATCAGTTTAGTATGCTCACATATCACAACGGAATCTAATTAATTAATAAGTGATTAACTTAATAATCAGGCACGAAGCTAGTTACAGAGACTCAGATTGGAAAAAATGAAATAAAGCCGCAAAATAAACGAAGTTGAAGTTGTTAATTACCATCTGGGATGATGCTACGAACATTAAGACGAGCGTGAGTGGAAGAGGGAAATGAGAGAAATATTGTAGAAACCCAAATGAGAAAAGCAATTAGAATAGCCTTCTTCATATTTTACAGCAATATATATGACTTCTAATTTGGCTTTTGTTTATATATGCTCCCTACACTTACCCTTGTCTTCCTCTCTATTTATGGTCTCCAGCATAGGGAAGCACAGTGTACTGACATAAAGGGCTGTTAATTAGCACTACATCCAGTTCTAAATATAAGACCTTAATCTACTTTGTTTTTCATATTTACTTTTTTATTTTTTAAAATAGTCTCTATGGTAATTGCACACGTTAAAGTGTTTATATTCTAATGCAGAAGATTAATAAGAATATTTTAGAAAATTTAACACTTATTTATTACAAATAACTAACTTAATTAATTTTTTTAATATTTGTAAATTAGTTGTCTAACTCTTATATTAAGGACAAGATATAATATAATTTATTCTCCCCTTTTTATCCACTCCAATCATACAAATAATTGCTTCATATATATTATTAAAAAAAAATCTAAATTGACTTAGGGTGTGTTTGGATGAAACCAAACCGTGGTTTGAAAAAGTGATTCTGGAGAATAGATTCTGAGAAAAATAGATTCTGGAAAGAATAAATTTTATGAAAAAGTGATTTTGAGAAGTGAGAGTGTTTGGATAGTTGTTATCAGAAGCACTTTTTATATATACAAATTACTAAAAAAAAGACATAAGTTAATATGATAATTACAGAGAAAATAGATTTTATGATATATTTTAATTTGAAGGAATAAAATTGTTAATAATATATTTTTTATTAACATAATTAATAATACATAAGATAATATAATTAATAAATAATTAATATGTATATATATTTATAAAATATAAGATTAAATATGTTTATAAAAAAATATGTTTATAAAAAAAATAACAAGATACATATCCTATAGGCTCTCACACTCTCCCTTTTTTCTCCAAAAGTAAAAAAATTTTGCTTTTTCCAAAACCATGGTTTTGGAGCCAAAACCATGGTTTTGGCCCAAAACCATGGTTTGGGCAAAATGGGGTGGTGTTTGGGTGACTTATCACCCAAACCATGGTTTGGGGTGTCACCCAAACGGTGCCTTAGTCGTGCCTTCAACCTTGGCGTCTCTCCCATATCCACCTCTTGCTTTTCATTCGTTTCAACTGTCAGTCAGTCGCAACTACCCTTAAATTTAATTATTTTCCTTTACAATTTTATATTGTCGAAATTTCAATTCATTCCCTGATTTGCATCAGCCCTTGTATTATCCCCCCTTCACTATTCCTCATGTTATCCTCTTTATTAATACTTTATATATATGATGCAAGAATTTTCTTAGTGCAAGAATAGGGATGCTTTCTTCCATTTGAAAGTTTAAATTAGAGTAGTTTTATTTAAATGATGAAGACGAGAAGGATGAGGAATGTTTATATTTTTTGGATTAAAATTTATACTTTAAATATAGTTTTGTATTTTAAAATTTGATCAACTCATTTTGGACATTATTACATTTTAATGTGTAAACTAACTTAGGGCAAAAATAAAAAAAATAAAAAAGGACTTTTGGGTCAGCTCGACTTATAGGGGTTAGGCTTCAAGAAACGGTTAAATTTGGGGTAGCAATGCTTCTGGGTCGGAGCCCATATGGGTCAGCCCCGCCCCATTTACTAATTGAAGTAGTTCTTGGAGACATCTCTGAACTTAGCATTTATTTTCTTTTGAAAAAATCAGCTCACATTCATGACTCATGAGCACCAAAAGTAAGGCCTACAAGAAACAAAGTGAATCAATGAATTTGGCCAAATTTGGAAAGAAATTAGTCTACATTCTAAGCTTTAAAAAGAGTCTAAGAACATGCAATTTTGATGTGTAGGTTAGAAGATATTACCTCTAATTCTAAATATAAGATCTACTATGCCATATTATATTCGGTCATAAATTTAAAATCAATTTTATAATGCAAATCACAATATAAAGTAGACCTTATATTTAGAGCAAGAGGTATTTGCATTACAAACTAAATCTTATATTTGAGATCGGAGGTAGCATGATTTTCAACTAGAAAATATGAAATTACAGTTTTTACTAAATTAACAGTAGCTTTTCCATGGATTTTTTGGGAAAAGAAGGAAATATAACGAGCTAAGATGTATTTTTCGCCTATAAAGAATTTAAAGAACTTTAACTAAAAACTTGAACCACTTCATCATTATATTTCTTGATTTCTTGATTTAGCTATGATTTTTCAAAAGTAGCTGAAAATTCAAGATTTATTATATGAATAATAGCTTGAAGATCTATCTGAGTTTTGAGGTTTTTTATTTTTTAAGGGTTTTCAATTGCCAAAAGGGGTTTTCAAAGTGCCTCAAATGCTCTTCTCTATATGTAATATAAAACAGTACTATTGACAAGGTATGAATAGTAAGCTCACCCCTATTTTCACGTAAAGCACGAGCTCACATTTTACACTACAAAAAAATAGGTGATTATTGACGGAACATACCTATATAATTCTTTTCATTGTTAAATTATTCGTCACGAATTAATTAGGAATGGGATGTGTATTTATAAATCTATTTGTCGATTCTAGATTTCTATTTTGTGTTATATATTTTGGTACATTTGTATAGATAATATATTATTTCTTTATTATATCAATTATATTAATTATTCCTATAACTGAAAGTTGCTTATATCCTAAATATACATAAATAATGAAATAATTAAGCACAACAAATTATCAATATTAAAACTTGCAACGTCACATATCGATAATAAAATAATTCATTTGTCAATCTTAATATGCAAGATATTTTCAATTTTCAAATTAAAATGTGTGGTTCCCAATTTCCCATACTACCAGTCAAGTATTTCTATATTTGAATACAAACTCATATGGTAAGCATAAGCCCAAAAAAAAAAAACCCATTTTAAAAGACTAACTTGCTAGGAATGAAAGCCGGTTGAACTTATAAACCCTACAATGCTTATGAGATTTTCTAATATAGAACTCATAACAGAGCATCCTCTAGAGAGCCAACATCCTGGTAGCTCCACTCTACAGCACTTTACTCAATCTTCTTATTAGTTAGAAACTTTTGTAGGTAGCCTTCTCTAGTTGGTTAACTCTCAATAAAAAGCCCAAAAATGAGAGCTCAATTTTAAAAGACTAGACTGTTAAGAGTGAGAGTCTCTTAAACTTATAAACCCTATAATATTTATGAGATTCCCAATATAAAACTCATAACAACCCATCTATATTAATTTCTATATACAAGATATATATTAACAAACAACTATTTCCCTTATATATTTTCTGAGGGCTAAAACGTGGAAGACACAAACATATCATGTTGCATATGCATAACACATTACTTTCCCATAGCCCGTTATGCTGTTCATCCCTGTTTTGAAAAGACATGACATCTACGGCTCACAAGTTGAAACCAATCACTTTGTAGAAAAGACATCACCAATTGTTGCATCAAATGCTTTTCTGTTCAGATACGTATGCATCATAAAGCAGATGTCAGATAACGCATAAAGTATATTGCAAAACAAAACATAATAAAAATCCATTTGTCTAACAAATCTTTTTATTTAAAGAGAAGCACATGAATGAATCATCAAATTATGAAGCAAGCAAGCAAAACTATGTCCACAAATTCCATTATCAATTATTCCATCTTTTGCCTTGCTTTCTTCCTCATCCTCAAGCTCTTTCTCAGAAAGTGAAGATTCAGAAATGTCCCACCGGGCCCTCCCTCTCTTGCCATACTCGGCAATCTCCACCAGCTAAAAAAGCCACTCCACCACCACTTTGAAAGTCTAATTTCAACGGCGGTTTTGTTATAAATCGCCGTGGAATATACTTTTAACGGCGGTTATATATATAACCGCCGTTAAAAATATTTTTTTTTAAAATTCTGCTTGATTTTCATTTTTACCACTCTGCAATTTACAATTCCAAATAAATATGGCAGGGCAGATCACGCAGAACAAGATCAATTAGCTAGTTAATATATCACGCAGAACTAAGTGGTTAATTAAGACCAAGGAACACGTATTGGCTAGGTCCAACAATTCTGAAATAGAAGTAACTACTTCTCTGTACAATGGAAATCATGAACATGTACATATAAGAGGGAACCAAGAGAAAACATCTAACAATGAATTTTTTGAGAAGTAACCTATCTATTTGAAAGCTAAATTTCAATAGTTTATACCAATGTTGTTGACAAAGTGTCCCTCATCAAGTTGATGTCATCCATGAGATATGGCGCAGTATTTTGAGATATCTGTTAATAAAAAATAACATAGTAAACTTAGTAAAAAATGTGAAATGAATTGAAGAACGTCATGCAACGTAACTCATCTTTACCTCGTCTAATTTCTCAGTCATTCCTGTCTCAATTATGTCATTCATATAGCGGATGACATAATATCCACACTCAACATGTCCTTGTTGACAATAGTACTAAAAAAAAAAAGATATAAAATTGAATATTAGACATTATTGATTATAAACATTAACTTCAATTCATCCAAAAATATTTAAAAGTTAGTTCAAAACAACATATACCTGTGGAAGAATCCATGTTGGTACTTGTCTATTTTGTTTAATCGCTACAACATTAAAGAATGAAAAGCCCTATCAACATTATAAGAGAAAAATGATATTAGAGTATGCTTGTATAAACTTCACAAGTAATAAATATATAAATAAAAACTAACGTGTCGATG